AAGGCCGACKACTTTAGCGKACTCCTAGATACGGTTCTCCTTAGCATCGGTTGTAGAATTATGCTTAAGGAGAATATCTGGACAGAGGTCGGCTTAGTAAACGGGTTATAGGGTACGCTTTTCGATATTATCTGGGCAGAAGATACTCTAGGTCCCCGGGCTGTTCTACCTCTCTGTCTACTCGTCGACTTCCCTAGATATTGCGGACTATCTATTCCTACCGAAGGCGGGACCCTACCGCCTACCGTAGTCCCTATCTATACTAGCCGTAGAACCGAGGTCGTAAAAGAGCCTAGGCCAGCCGAGGCAGCTAATCGACGTACTTATCCTACCGAGTTTTAGAAGGAGCAGTTTCCTGTTACGGTCTGTTACGCGGAGACCGTTTATAAATCACAGGGCCAGACGCTAGACGAGGTAGTCGTTGATGTTACGGCAAAGGAGTTTACCTCCGGGCTTAATTACGTCGCTATCTCTCGCGTCCGGCGTCTAGAGGACCTCTTTCTCTCTAAAGAACCCTCTCTCGCCGATCTCCGGCCTACTCCCTCGAGTAAAAACATAGCTCGACAGCGAGATCTAGATATCCTACGGCGAGAGCCTTAACGGATTCTACCCCCTCCCCCGCCTACTCCCCGGACCCTAACCTCCTACGGACATACCCCGCGAAGCATCCTATCCTCCCGGCCTAGACATCGAAGACCCTCTCTCTCCCCTCCTACCCCTACCCGAGTTTCGCAGCGGCGACGTATATAGCTCTTATTCTAGCAGATGTAGATTGTATTTACTTACTACTTATTTCATTTATAACACCTCTATACTGTTTATTTAGTATGTAATTAGATAGTTCCTATCTAGTTATCTAATATATTCCACTTATATAAACTGGAAAATGTACTTCTCCTATCGTAGTTTTATTATAGATTAATACTACTAATAATAAAGGGCTAACTAGTACAAATAGTAGTGTCTTCCTTTTACGGTAGTGTTACCCCCCTCTTCGAATTACCTTCCTTCCTTATAACTCGACTATCCTACTACTTAGATGCTTCAAATTTCGACGTAGATATTATTAAATGCTTCCGGCGAAGCCGACTACCGCTTGCGGTAAGAGATTCCTATTATCTATATACTATATATA